CAGGATGTGCCCGCCACTCAGCAGCCATCCTCAGTCCCAGCAAGGCTTAGTGAGCTTGTCATTTCTAAGCAGGGCACGTTTTTCTGCGGTCCCCTTTCCAAGGAGCAAATGGTGACAGCAGCCCGGAATGCAATGTCAGCACAAGGGAAGCTACTGGCCTGCAAAGGCCCAGCAGAGATCCCACGCCCTCTGCCCCTCCTCCTCATACCTGCAAGCACAGGCCTTTTTCCTGAAAACTGCGTTCCTGTGCCGGTCAATACCCACCAAAGGCCTTCTTTCACAGCCCCTTCCCCACGCTGACTCTATATGGACCGAGGGCAATTTTTGTTTACTGTTGCTCTTTTATTTCTAAGGAGAGAAGCATCTTGTTACATAAAAGCCCTTCTGTTCTGCTAAGGCAGTGATAGCAAACCTATGACACGCGTGTCAGAGGTGACACACAAACTCATTTTTTTGGTTGATTTTTCTTTGTTAAATGGCATTTAAATATATAAAATAAATATCAAAAATATAAGTCTTTGTTTTACTATGGTTGCAAATATCAAAAAATTTCTATATGTGACAAGGCACCAGAGTTAAGTTAGGGTTTTTCAAAATGCTGACACGCCGAGCTCAAAAGGTTCGCCATCACTGTGCTAAGGAATCTGATGAGTTTAGGTCTGAATTGGGAGGTAAAGGTATAAAAGAACTCAACTTCACTGCGTGAAGAAATGGAACGGCTTTGTGTTGTTTTGTTTGCTAGAGGGGATGGGGTGCACAGGAGAGGGGACAGAAGACATGGGGACAAGGGATGTTCTGCCACCTGGCCAAAGACTGGAGCCCAATTATCAAATTGGCTAAAGAGAGATGTTAAAAGCAAAATTTCTAACATGAAATTTTAAGTATCTGTGTTGCTGCTGTCAAAATCCCTCCCATTCCTCCACTTTCAGGATAGCCCTCTATGTGCCCAAATGCCTTGCTGTGGAGAAATCAGGAGAACGAGCTGAGTTCATATCTCGATTAGTATGGTGGGGAGCCAGATACATGTGCAGGGTAGTAAGAATATTCATAAAGGGAGGTGATCGAATGAAAACTGGAGCTCAATAACCAGCCCACGCACCAAAGGGTTGTGGGTTCCATTCAGTTCAATCTCTGCCCTGGTTGGGGCACGTGTTGGAGGTAACCAATCAATGCGTCTCTCTCATATGAATGTCTCTCTTCCTCTCTCTTTTTCTCTCTCCTCTCTCGCTCTCCCCCTTCCATCACTTCCACTCTCTCTAAAAATCAATGGGGAAACAATATATGTATATAAATATAACTGGAGCTCAAAGCCAGAGTCGCCCTTTGCAGTTGACAAGAACAAGTCTCTGGGCAAGGCTCCATCATCCCGTGAGGGTTTAGTGCTTGCACACGCCATGAAATGGCATTTGAGTCTGTCTTGTTTCCATCTTAATGGGTGAGGAGACACCATCTGATGTCCAATTAATATATCCTCTAGCCAGAGCATCTAACACTGTAGAAACACAGATTTTGTCAGCACTGTCAGGGGACTTGTGAGTTAAGATAGAGTAACAGTCATTCATTCCAGCTGGGAACATTTGCTGACTCTGACTGAACTCTAGACACACTGAGAGGAATTTTCTTTCTTTCTGTTTAGTGTGCTTGTGCTTGCCTGGGTCTGAATATGACCAGACATCCTTCTTCAGTCCCACTTCCACGAGAGCTCCCAGGACCACGCACGTTAAGTCATGAGGTCAAGGGAGAATGATTGTCTCACTCCAAAGCAAAAGGTGTAAAGGGGCTCTCAGACTATTTGGCTTTTTTGATATTGCTAATGGTCGAGAGCAACTGCAAAAGCAAGCATTCTCATTCTTGGAAAAAGGTCACCTGAAAGCATTCTCATTCTTGGAAAAAGGTACGAAAAAATCCCAGAGACAGACACAGGTCACTGCCGAGGGCAAGGTCTCAATCAGGTTCAATCCAGAGGACAGGGGAGAGTTTGAGTAATTTGCTCACTAGCAGTTTTCAGAAACAGAGAGAGGACCTTGGTGTTCATCTTCAGTATTCTCAAAGTTGAGAGGAAAAGGCTTCCCTGTGAGAAATCATCAAGGTAGAGGTGGAGAGGGCTTAGCAGGTGGCTGAGATGAGGGGAGGGAAGGCACGTTTTCAGGAAAGATCAAAGGAATAAGCATGTCTGGCCAAGGCAGGTAGGGTCCCAGAGCGTGGCTAGTTTGGAGCATCCAAACCTTTATCCCTCCACTTTCTAAGGTTTCTTCCAAGAGGCAACCCAGTTTCACTTCCCACCATACCACCTGACTTGTCCATGTCTAGACAGGCAGCCCAGGATAGAGGCCCGAGGGTTAACTTTGGAATCAGAGGTCTGAATTTAAGCCCCAATTCTGCCCTTCTCTGGTTATAGGACCGTGGATAAGTCATTCAGATAGCCAAGCTCAGGTGGTGCATTATTAAATACTGAGGTTTTGCCCGGCCCCGGTGGCTCAGTGGTTGAGCACCAACCTATGAACCAGGAAGTTATGGTTTGATTCGTCAGGGCACATGCCTGGGTTTCAGGCTCAATCCCTAGTTGGTGGTGTACAGGAGGCAGCCGATCAATGATTCTCTCTCCTCATTGATGTTTTTATCTCTCTCTCTCTCCTTTCCTCTCTGAAATCAATAAAAAATATATATATTAAATACTGAGGTTTTAAGTGATTTCTTTTATGGAGCAGAGCCCTTTCTTCAAGTAAAATCTTATCAGAAGCTCAATATACAAAAGAGATCAAAGCCAAGTTGGCTGGAATAAAGTGAAGGTGACCGTGGCAGTCCCTCAGTCACCCACAGACACACAGCACTGCAGAGGCGCCACGCGGATGGAGTGCCATGTGGGAGGTGGCCTCTGGAGTTGTGCAGTGGAGCCGTGCTACCTTAAAGCTCCACAGAGCACAGGTCAACATTCAAAGGACAGCATAAGCCCCTTCCAGTTCCAACAGACTATGGGAATATGCTTACTCCAAAATCCTCCAAAATCGACCTGTCCCAGGGCTAACCCCAATTCTCCTTCTTTACCCCAACTCAGCCTGGTTCCCCCCCAGGAGACTGAAAGAATAGGACAAAGAGGACAATATGGGGACAGTAAAAACAATACCCATATAAGTGCTTGGTTGTGTACACCTTGATTTAAGTGTAAAACACACTGAAGGAGGAGATGGCCAGTGTGGACAGAATGAAACTTGAACCAGAGTCAGATGTGATTTTTCAGGCCAGTTCTGCCACGAACCAGCTCTGCAGCCTCTGACAACTCATCTGTGAAATGGGAGAGCAATGGATGCTTACCACACTAGTCAGTTTTGAGGAACAGAAATGTGTGTAAAAAATACATGTAAATCATAACATGTATCTAATTGAAGATATTATTACTACTAGAGGCCCAGTGCATGAAAATTCGTGCACTGGGGGGGGGGTCCCTCAGCCCAGCCTGCCCCTTCTCACAGTCCAGGAGCCCTCAGGGGATGTCCTGTTGATGGCTTAGGCCTGCTCACAGGGAGCGGGCCTAAGCTGCAGTCTGGCCTCCCTCTGGGGGCAGATCAGGGGAAGGCACCGCCCCCATCACCCCGCTGCTGCTGCCATAGCTGGCCACCACGGCTGCCCCACCCTTGGCCCTCGCTTCTTAGTGCTGGCCCTGCCTTCCACCCACTGGTGGGTGGGGGGTGATCTGGGTCCAGGTTGGCTGGGGGAGGGGCTGTGAGAGGTTGAGGCACAGCAGGTCACAACCCATCCAGCCTCTGCAGAGGTATGACATTGGTGCCAAGACCAGGCCCATGCTGCTGCCTCTGTGGCTACCTCTGTAGAAGAAGCAGCACTGGGACCAGGACTGTGCAGCCCCCTCTCCCACTGCCTCTGTGAAAGGGGCCACAGCGCTGGACTGGCCTGTGCAGCCGCCTCTCCCGCGCCACCGCCGCCTCTCCCACACCACAGCCTATCCTGCGCCGCTGGCCCTCAGCCCTGGCAGCTGCTGTGGCTTTGTCCAGAAAGACGTCCAGAAGGATGTCCAGAAGACGTCCTGTCTATCCAGTCTAATTAGCATATTACCCTTTTATTAGTATAGATTGTTGTATTATTCTTTTTATTTTATTTTATTTTTTAAATATATTTTATTGATTTTTTACAAAGAGGAGAGAGGGATAAAGAGGAGGGGAGAGGGATAGAGAGTTAGAAACATAGATGAGAGAGAAACATCGATGAGAGAGAAACATCGATCAGCTGCCTCCTGCACACTCCCTACTGGGGATGTGCCCGCAACCAAGGTACATGCCCTGGACCGGAATCGAACCTAGGACTCTTCAGTCCACAGGCCAATGCTCTATCCACTGAGCCAAACCGGTTAGGGCTGTATTATTCTTTTTAAATGTGATATCTTCCAAGAGGTGCTATGGGTTGTACAATGAATACACTGAATCTATACACTGAATCTCAAACTGTGATTCAATTATGTTTCAGGAATTCTACAGACAATGGAATCATATTTCAATTTTCTAATATACTCAAATATTTTGAAACTATTATGAAGTGCTAAAAAAGAAAACTACAAGATGTCCAGAGAACATTCAGTGGTGGGCGGGGCTGCTTTGGATTGGTGGAGCAGGGAAAACTGGCTTGAGGGAAGTCATGTTTGAGAGGTAAAGGATTCGGGTGTGGGGAGGCCAAGGGAACAGCATGAATAGAAACCCTACAATAGGGAAAGGTGTGGAGTATTTACAGAAGTGGAAGAAAGAAGGCTGGTGTGGCTGGAGGGAAAGAACAACTGTGAGAGTCATGAGATGAGGTTAGGGAGGGAGGCCGGCAGGCAGGAGCCAGACCACACTAAACCTTGTATAGATTCAGAAAGTTTGCTTATTCTTTTTTCATTAGCTAATGTATTTTCCTTCCTTTGGACAGCAGAGTCAGAATGAGAAATCAAAATAGCCACATATGGAGGCACCCTGGCCAGCCTGACCAAGGACAGGCCCCAGCAGGAATTATACCTGTATCATTACAGAGCATCAGGACACCTGGATAGCCTGGCGCATTGCGATGCTGCAGACGCAGAGCGTTTGTCACATGAATGAATGACTGAAAAAAATAAATGAATGACCTTCTGTTTAACCATTAACTTAGCAATGTTGTAGCCCAAAGAACTGGAAACTAGTTCAGAAGGCCCTCAGCATGAGGCTAAACATCCACCCGCTGAGAAATGACGCTGCCCATGTTCTATGGCAGGGAAGAGGTTCCTGAGCCTCAGATTTTGGCTTTCATTTTAACTGGCTTTCATATGCCTGCAATCAAACAGCCATAAAAAAAATGTATACATTGCAAGAGGCCTTTAAAAGCACATAGTCTAAAGCCTTCTAGTCCCCCTCCCAAACCGCACCTTAAGTCCCGTTTACCCTCCCTGCCTACTGATCTCACAGCTCCTTCGATGGGTATCTTTTTGCCTCTCAGACAACTGTAAACAAAACGGTTCTTCTTTTAGCCAAAACCTACCCTCCAAAGCATCCATTCGTGAAACTTAGTTCTATTCCTTGGAGAACACGTGGATTAAGTCTTCTTGCTTTTTCAAAACATGAGGCTGTCAGAAATGTCTTCCCTCCATTTGCTCCGTGGAAATCATGTTTCAGTTTGAGATCAGAAAACTAGAGTTCTGTTCCCAGTGAAGATTCTAACATATCAGGTTCGTGAGCACAAAACACAGCATGTGCAGGGGGTGTCTATGTGTCCTTCTGGTGTGCTCTAGGTCTTCACATAGGGAGTTCAGTCAAGTAAACAACAGGACCTTTGGCAACGAGGGCTGAGGTTTGAGCTCAGTGTGAAGTCTCCTGTGAAATATGCTGGGTGGTTTGAACTCCGACACGCTGAATATTAGCTCACACAGGAAAACTATCATGACTAATTCAACCCAACTGGAAGAAGTTATTGGCGGGGTGCAGAGTAGCAGGGGTTACTGAAGGCTTTGCTTTTTGAGAAAGGAAAGTTGCATGAAGATTGAATGATTTGTTAATCCCCAGAGAAGGTGTTACAAAGAGGTCAAGCCTGGATTCATTGGCAGGGCAGCAGTGGTGAGGGTCTCTGGCTATAAATTCACCTTATTTCAGCGTCTATAACAATAGGGCCATGAAGATCTCGAAGAGTGTCCAAAATAATTTAATAACGTTTATTTTTGTTAAATGGGTCTTCCTGAAATAGGGTCATGAACTTTATCTTTTTTTATGACCAACAACTAAGCGAAACAACTTCTTGCCCTATTGTCAGAAGTCTGATCCTCCTCATCTTCCCAAGAGGACATGGAGCAGGAAGAGAAGGTTCCATGACCCCTGGAAGCCTGTGGTCCACAGCTTAGCACAGTCTGGCCATCATCTCTGAGCCAATATTTGGTTTAATCAATTCTCTTGACATTAATTCTAACCCAGATGTAATCTTTTATAGCTTAATGATTTGTTCTCTCGGGCACCCTGATGAAATATAAACAGTTGCCTAGAATCCGGTGAAAATAGTTTTTACTCCTCGTTTCTGTTTCTAATTAATTATTGAGAAATTAGCTTGAACCTTGATCTGTGGCAATCACTACAAAATTGGACCATGGCAAAGATTCTTAATTACAATCTGCACCATCCTAGATATAGGATGCACCAGGAAAAGAGAGAAACATTTTGAGGGCAAGTTTTTCTTAATTCACTCAAGTGAGGATATAGTAATTTTTATATTGAAACAATGCCTGTTATCTGAATGCATTAGGTCTTTCAACTCCCCGGTGAATGAGACGGTTACAGAAAGATAGATACAGAAAGATGCTGAGGTTAAGTGACTAACGGGAGGCTAAAATGATATGAGGCCACAGCAGAACTCAGCAGGGAACACTATCATAGCCCAGCGCCATCAGCCACAATCTAAATTAAACACTCCTAACCCAAGAGAGTCGCAGAGATGTCGGGATCATACCAGAAAAATTACAGCCAGGGTTTTGCCTCAAGACTCGGAATGCGCATCAAAGGACAAGGGAGCACTGTTCCTAGCCTCCATTCCCTCCCTTGGAAAAATGACGGCAGTGCCATTTCTAATTCAGTGTTATGCTGGGAAGGTTGCAAATTAATTACAATTATGCCTTCTTTGTGCCAAGTGATAATTTACTGCAATTAATTATCAAAAGATCTACTGCTGTCAATTATGATACTCGCTCTCGAGGGGGGAGGAGCTATTGGTAAGCATCTGAAATCTGTAATAAAGTTATGTTTTGCCCTTTTTTCCCATTTCCAATTAAGCTGTTATAATTTGTTTTCATTATGCCAACACAATGGAAAAACTAACAATGTTACCCTAACCTCTCTCTTAATCTAAACATTATCTAGACTTTCATTGAATCAACATGTTTATTGTTACACCTGCAAGTCCTACATAGAGGGAGGCACACTTCAGAATTAATGAGCGCAGCTGTGGTCTCTCTTACATTCAGCACTTGTAAAATAGACCTCTTTAAAGTGCCATTATCACAATATTGATAGAGTTATTTATAGCATTGCAAATGCTCCCAGTCATAACAGAGGACTTGTTATCCATGGCAAGTTCATGCTGCTGTCATCCCCTGGCCTCCATCCAGAGCCAGGGAGCAGGCACCAGGTGGACCATCTTTCAAAAATGAGCTCTAAAAGACATCTGAAAAACTTTTCCTCAAAGTGAATCTAATTGCCAGGAGTCGGTCAAGTGGCCAAGTTACCTATAGGAAACATAGCGAGTTAGCCTGAGCCCAGGTGTATAAGACACGTCACCTGAGACCTGACCCAACGTAGTTCTGGTGGGAAATGGGAAACTCGAGGTGCAAGGCTGGTGCTGCTTCTTCATCAGGGAGTCAAACAGGTATCCGTGCAGGAGCGCAACCTCAGGAGGAATTGTCTGCCTCCACAGTGCAGCTCACACACTCTCATTCAACAAAAGATGCTCTTCCTTTCTTCTTTTCTGTGTGTAAAACTCCTCGTTTACATCTTTCCCCCCATTAAATTTTAAGCTCCTTGTGGGTGAAGAGTACATCTTATTTGTTTTCTTGTTAGCACGGAGTAATAATTTTACACTCCGTAATTAGCACTCTATAGATTTACGTAAGAATTCTTTGTCATGCACTAACCATGTGTTAAGCACAGCACAAGGTCCTACGAGACAAAGATATATGTACCACATATATATGATTGGTACATCAGCCATAATTTCTTAAGCATATTCTTCCTAAATTGCTGGCCTGGTTTACTTAGGACCAGCCAGGTAGTCTATGTTGTGTACATTTGTATTTAGTTGTGTAGTTTTGATTTCTTTTTCCTACCTGGATTACCATCAAATTCACCCCACCTCCCCCATCCCATCTCCACCCCCAGGGGAGCCCCTTGACAATAGTGAAGACAAGCATGTGCAGATCAAACTGCCAAGCCTATAGGTCAGCTCCTCTGCCAGCCCCCACCACAGGGCCCAGGAATAACAGAAACCCAGCTGAGAGGGAGAGATAAGCCCTAGTGCACAATCTTCCCACCCACCCACCTCTGAGTTGGCAAACAGGCATTCTAAAGTGGGCCTGGCTCAGGAGCTTCCCCAGTGATGCGTTCTCCCCAGGCAAACCTTGCCCTGAGCTCCATTCCATGGACACCCAGCTATCCCTCACCTGCACGGACACCCAAAAGAGAGACAAGTCATTGCCCACCCCCTCTCACTTATCTCAAGTGCAAGGAACAAGGACAAACAGTTACGTAGATTGCAGACACCTGGACATAAGTCTCCACAGGCCTTCCCCTCGGTCCTCACTGCCTGCATTTATTGGTAGGACCCTTGCAGAGGGCAGCTCAGGATGGCTGCTTCCTGCTACCAGGCACACTGTGCTCACAAAGGGCTCCTCTGAGAGGCGGCCCCCACCAGAGGAAGAGCCTGGTGAAGCAGGAGATCCCAGGACTGCAGTCCTCCCTCTGCTGTATTACAGTCGCTTTCCCTCCACATCTTAGCTTCCTTGTCGGCAAATAGAAGGGGTCCGCCTAGGTGAGCGGCTGCAACCTCACCGCCCTCTGGGACCAGTAGGGAACAGGTATGACAGGAGCAGCCAACGGTGAGTGCTCAGAACTGTGAACAGAAGAAGCCTGCCCCACCTACAAACGCATGTTTATTCTGAAATTGTAAAATATGCTTTATCTGCAATCTAAATTCATCCTGTGCCTGCGGTGGTGCGTTCTGGCTACTGATTACCACCCCAAAGGTAGTGACACTATGCAATTTCAGCCCTTCCTTTATTTGGGGGTGGCCCTTTATTTCAGGAGTATTTAGAATGTTTCAGATAAAATTAGTGAAATTAAATGTATCTTAAATATGAAATTTTAGCTGAGCATCCCTTGGCCAGGACTGTTCTGCTGCTGCCTTTGACATCAGTCCCTTCTGCCTGGGGCACCTTGAGGCGACCATGTACTGTGTGATGGAGCGGGTCCAGATGGGCTCTAAACTGTCCTGCAGGTCAGCCCCTGGAGGCACATTCAGGACCATTGCCTCTGGGCAGCTCCTTGGCTCGTCCAGGAGCTCCTTGTTACAGATGTGTTTATTTCTCTCCGTCTGCCCAGGGAGGATGGCCCTTGTGTAGGACAAACTGTAGGCAGAGGTGTGGAGGTCCATTCCGAGCTGACTCTGACTCTCCTTGGGGAAAAAAGTTGGTGAAAGTGTTCCATTTCAACCAGTTCCCGGGGCAGCCTTTGTGCCTGCATTGTTACAGATGTGTTTATTTCTCTCCGTCTGCCCAGGCCCAGGGAGGATGGCCCTTGTGTAGGACAAACGGTAGGCAGAGGTGCGGAGGTCCATTCAGAGATGACTCTGACTCTCCTTGGGGAGAAAAGTTGGTGAAAGTGTTCCATTTCAACCAGTTCCCCGGGCAGCCTTTGTGCCTGCGGGGAGGGGAGGAAGGAAGCCTCGCTGCTCCATGTTCCTCTGACACTAACTGCGCTTACTTCTCTCTAACCCTACACTGTCCATACTACACTCTGATTTTTCCTTCTTCAAATTTCTGTTTCTCCCACTAAAGCCATAAGCTCCTT